TTCTTCAATCCGATCACACCCCCCAACTTCCTTGTCAAACCGGCCAACCAAACAAGATAAGAGAACCGATTTTCTCTCTCCGACGGATCCCCCGTCTATGTAAAGTGACGGCCCACGATGGGGAATTGCCGACTCCACAACCCCTGTAAGTGTAATTCTTGGAATCTTTGCAATTTCTAAATAAGACTTCATAACAAACAAAACCACGCTCGCCCTCAAATCGCCCCTAGTGACGTCATCCTCTATTGACTAGATTCTTTATTGAACCAAAGTTTTATAAGTTTCTTTCATTAAAATGTTAAGGTTATTTTCGGTATTATGAAAGTGTCACTTAAGTTGCTATCCTTTCTCTCCAAATCTTCCCACTTTTGGAAGTATAGCAAAGGAGAGATTTGGAGAAATAAGCTATCCCTCCATATGTCTCCAAATCCTTTTATTTTCTCTCCTCATTAACAAACCAAACATGAAAATCACTATCCTTTCCTTTCTTTTCTTTTCCTTCCAATTCTATCAATCCAAACGAAGCCTAAGGCTGTAGCTGGCAATTTGATGCGCAATTGAAGATGGTAGTCGACAGATCAATCGAAGGATACTAGAATTTGCAAGGATCTAATATACAAACAGATGCATAAGCTAAAAAGATCTTAAGAAAAAATTGATTGCATATATTTTTTCTTTACGCATTCATCAATCCTCATATATTAAATTGGTGAATGTGATATATAAATGTTGGCATGTAAATAGCTCCAGAGTTGATTTGAAGAATCAATGCCAAGTCGCCAACAAAAATCAATCAACCGAGAGTGTGTGGACGACTAATCTATAGATCAAAGTGTAATTTAAGCAGCAGATCACATGAGGAACATTATCTATGTTGACAGAGCGGACTGTGTGACTACAGACTCTGTGCATGAGTTTGGTGGATCAGTCTGTGCCAAGAGGTAACTAGGGGGTTCTAGCGTCATTGAACTGTCAACCTAGAAGTAATCTCTTTCTGACATTGGATTCTGATCTAACTGGACTAGGTCCCATTATTTTTCCTATTTCGTTTTTCCGCACAAAAATCTTGGTATCCATTGTGCTATTTTATTCTACTTTAATTTGCATTTGATTGAATGTGTGTTATGGCATGATGGATGATTTGTATTTGACATTTAGTTTAATTTAAAATTTGATTTTTCAGTAAGTTTGTTGAAATTCAAAAAGTGGTCAAAACTACCATCAAGACCAATAACACTCCCCACCCCCAGTCAAAACATGGACCTTGCACTAACTTTCTATTAAAGCCTAGAGTTTCAGTACTTACCTCATCTAGGACACTGTGTACTCTCAGGTATCATAGTTTCAAGTAAAGGACCAACCTTTCATATATAGCATGGCTCCATTCCAAATCATATTGTATGATGAGATCTTAATATGTTATGTATATATATGTATATATATATATATATATAAACAAGTGGTTAAGTTCTTAAGCTCATCCTAGAGATAAATTGAGGCTCATTTTGTAATTTTCCTCTTGGAAATCCTAGAAATTTAGGAATGGGAGTAAAATAAGGATAGTCATGGAACGACTATATTTTCTTACACAAAGCACATCGTTATTGTTCTCTTTGATTACTTTGTTTCATTGCTTTGTGGCTTGGATCGTTTGGTTGGATGAAAATTTGCATGAGAATAATTAATTAATTCATTGAAAACGATTGAAGTTTAGATTATGAAAATATTTACAAAGCGTGCAAAAAACTTATGAGCCCCTCTCTCTAGGTCTAATTGAGACTGTTGGGTTAATAAGACTTATGGTGGCGTATATTTGATTGATCAAAACTAAAGTATGTAATTTTGTTGTTACTTTTAGTTTAGTTAGATTTTTAGGAGTGAGTTAGTGTCATGGTAAGTGTCATGTTAGTTACCTCTTCAACAAGGTCAAAGATGTAATTCAAGGTTCTAGTTTCAACTGAGGGAAAAAGCAAAATATGCAACACCAAAGGGTACAAAGGTAAATAACACTGCTATATGCACTCATCAAAATTTAAGATTCATGCATACATGGATTAGAGTTTTTGAATTTCATGTTTCGATTTGGAAAATCCTAAGGGAATTGCATAAAGGTGTTCTTGGAAACTACCTTGCTTGAAAATTTTGCAAATATAGATTCACAAAGCACTTCGACTGGTTGACAGGTCAACCTAGAATGACCAAGCCACTCGAAAATCTAGTTTCCTTTTCAGATTATAACACTAAAATTCTATTCTCTTACAACTGTGGATTGTCTATAAATATTCTGTCATGTCATTAACCATGATATACAGGGAGATGCATTAGCTAAAAAGATTTTATAAAAAATTGAGTGCATATATTTATCTCTAAGCATTCATCAATCATCATATATATTAAGATCAGCGAGTTTCATATATAAGTGTTGACATGTAAATTGCTGCAAAGTTGATTTGACAAGAACACCAACAACAATCAATCAAATGACATTTTGTGGACGACTGATCTATAGATCAAATGCCTATTGAAGAAGCAGTGGGTTTGGTGGATCAGCCTGTGCCAAGAAGTAACTAAGGATTCTGGGGGGGTCATTGAACTGTCAACCTAATTGTTTGATTTGACTAAACCAGTTCTCATGGTTTTTCCCGCTTATATTTTCCATATAACAATCTTGGTGTCCACTGTGCTATTTTATTCTACTTTAATTTGTTTTAAATTGGATGTGTGTTATATTTAGCATGATGGATTGATTGGTATTTGACAAATAGTTTAAATTACTAATCTCGGGTAAAGGTCCAACTTGTCATATAACATAGATCCCTTCAAAATCATATTGCATGATGAGATCTTGATATGCTATATAAAAAATAAAAATAAAAAGCGGCCAAGCTCTCAAGCTCGTCCTGGAGATAAATTAAGGCTCTTTTCATAATTGTTCTCCTCGAAATCCAGGAAAATTAGGAATGAGAGTAAAATAAGGATAGTCAAGGAACCACTACTTTTTCTTACAAAAAGCACAACATTATTGGTTTAGCTAGCATAGCCAAATTTTTAGTTCTCATAGAGAGGCCTTCAAGTAGCTCAAGCCATGAATAAGAAAGGTATTAGTTGAGGGTGATCAATCAATCCTCATAACAAAAATTTGTTGTACATCTGATAAAGCCACCAATACTAAATGGTCTAAATCATAGCAGAGAAATCTAGATCCTAGGTTGCATAGCTCATGGTTTCATTCATGATCATATACTTGGATAAGCATGTCGCAGGATGCAGTTGTGTATCTAAATATAGTTAACTACAATGTCAGTGTCTTTACTTTTATCCTAGCCATGAATATGAATATATATATATATCCTAGTTGATACTCAACCCCCCCTTCCTTTTCTCAAGGAATTGTTTATGAATATGAATATATTTACTATAGCATGTTCAACAAAAGCATTTCACTCAATGGAAAATATCCATCTGAATGTAGGTATAAGGTTGTATAATAGCTAATGAACTTCTAGTCAATTGGAATGCTTTTTCTCTCATTAGATCTTGGACCCACCTTTTGGGCATGTGTCATGTGGTAGGCATGTCTAGCACATAAAGCCGTAGTGACAACATTTTAGCAAAGAGATTTGATCAACAAAGAATGAGATATGTCATGTCTACATATTTCCATTGTTAGAGAGTTGAATTTTATTTGTACTTTTCTATAATTATTAAGGGTAACTTTGTCTTTTCCTATTTTAGTTAGGCTTTACATTATATCTCATCTTTTGTAATTCGACAGTACTGTAATGCAATATACGGAAACAACTTCACTTCTTTTCTGTGCAGATTTACAATAAATTTACATCCATAACTTCCTATATCTTGAAAACAAAAAATTACAAATTATCAACAACTCATGGCAAAGTTGATAACAATGAAAATTTTTAATTTATTTAAAAAATTGATAGATACCACCTCATAGATCAGATCAGATCAACTTTTGTTTACACTGTTATTCTGAAACACTGCAAATCAAGAATGGTGCAAGTCACACATTCAACATGCCAACCAAAAGAATCACGTTATGATGACAAAAGAAATCTAATTTTTCTAAACATCTTGCTCAGAAACAACCCACAAGACATTGCATTAAAAGCATAACAATTTCGCAAAGAAATAGCCCACTTTTTTTCTCGAGAAAAAAGGGAAACAACGGATGTAGCTAAGTGGCTCAAGGCAGTGGATTGTGAATTCAACTGCGCGAGTTCATACTTTCATACAGTATCTTAACTGAGTTATATGTAATGATCAATAAATTCAGTTTAACATGGCATTGAGGTAGTGAATACTTGACATGCATATATTACTCAAAAGAAACATCCTTTAAGTATTAAACTATCAATAGACATGAAACTTCCTTTTAATTCCATAAGAACATGTAAACAATATATTAACCCAAAACCACATCCACACTACATCCTTCAGCACGTTTCTGAGCATCAAATCATCCTTGTTCAATCCCAATACCAACAGCACTATAGTTATTCCTTTATTTATTAGTTGACAATTTCAACAATCACTAATTGGTTCTCAGTATAACAAAATATGTATTTCAATGTAATTTCGCTTTTAAATAAAATTCATGAATTATAGATAGTGGCATTGCCTATATGTTAACTAGAACTCAACAACATAACTTGAATCATTTGGCAAAATGCAAAAGAATAAACATGCCAAATGGGGACTTCAGGTCAGTTGAGAAGCTATAGTCTCGTGGCATTTTAATGTTCTAAGAACTACATGATGCTTCATCATTAACTCAATCATGACATTATATCTTCACTGCTTCATCGTTAACTACATGATGCTTCATTTTGTTAACCATTTAATCTTTCTTATTACTGAAAGCATAGATCTTCACTGCATTACAGAAAACAAATATTGATTTCTAGGAACACCCGGAACAAAAAGAGATGAGAGAACACAGACTGAACAACTTCTAACAGATATTTCAAATCACTCACCTGCATGACCTCATCAAGCAGCAAAACATGCGTAAAAGGGTCTCTTTTCTTCGACAGAACCCTTTGCAAATGCCAAACTGCAACCACAATGGAATGCAATTGATCCATACAAGTACTCATCCTCTGCCACAGTGCCTCCTTTGCCTTTGCCCCACCGCCAATTTGCGGTGTCCCACTCCTCTGTATCCCTCCAAGTCCGGGCCCAAACCCATCCCCGGAAGGGGCCGAAATGGCCTTCATGTCCAGCGCAGCACTCACACTCTTCACACCCTGACTCTTGTACTTGTTTATCAACCCATCCACTGTTGCCTTCAATTCACCAAGATTGTAAAACACCTGCAAGCCCGCCCCAACCTCAGCTTGATTGAAACCCTCCAATCCTCTCTCCAAAACCCTCATTCCCTCTGACCGCAACTTCTGTCCGGCATCGAAAACCCAATTCAATTCCTCATCGATCACGGCGATGCCGGCTAACTCATTCTCGTTACACAGGCTCAAGATCTCGCAGTGCAGTTGGGCCGCCTTGGAGAGGTCGAGCTTTTCGGGTTCGGATTCGGCAGCGGCCATGACGTCGCGGAGTTTCTTGGAGAGGCGGAGGACGCGGATGGTGAACTGGAGGAGCTCGGTGGTGCGGTGGAGGTTGGAGAGCTGGAGAGTTTTGGCGCGGATCTGGCGGTGGGGGTCGGCGATCTCGGAGCGGACTCTGCGGACGGAGGATTGGAGGGTGGAGACGGCAGATCGGAGGGCGGCGAGGGAGGAGTCGGCGTCTCTGAGGGAGGAGAGCTGAGAGAGGAGGTCGTGGTGGCGGGAGAGGACCTCGGAACGGAGCTGCTTCTCGAGGAGGCGGATGCCATCTTGGAGCTTCTCGGCTCGGGCGGCGGCGGATCCGGAGGAGAGGGCGGCGGAGGAGAAGCGGGTGGAGTCGAAGTCGGAGGAGAGGAATGCGGAGAAGATTGGATCGGAAGAGAAGGAATCAAGTGGTGAAAATGAGAATGAGGTAGATGGTGGGGTCGTGGTTGAATTGGGTGTGTTTGTTGTTCTGTCTTTGAAGGTAGAGAGGCGTTGGAGAGGAGAAGAAGAAGAGGAAGGGAGTGGGGATCTCTGGATCGCTGGAGAAGCCATTTTTGGGTGCGCACTTCTTGCTTGCTTAGCAGTTAGTTTTTCACCTGTTATGTTATGAGCTTCTTTCTTCTCTTTTATAGTTCAGGAAAAATGACACGTAGAGTGAATCCAATAATTTCATTTTATTGGCTCGAGGCTCTTAATTTTTTTGTTCTATGAACAATTTCATTTAATTATGGATGAATTACATTAGAGAATTGTAAAAAAAAAGAAAGAGACAACTAAATAAATGGAATATAGATGATTAGCCCCGGATCGATCTAATCGGATTAGGCTGCATCAGTCCTAATCCGATCTTTTGGTAACGAATTGAAAAACATATGAATTCCATCCGATTCGTGACAAGGACCAGTTTGATCCGTAGGATATTGGGTCAGATCAGATCAGTTCTACGGATTAAGTTTTTTCTTAAATGGACCAATAATTATTAAACCTTTGTCATTTAATTGTTTGGTTGTAAATAGTTTAATTGAAACAATTTAAAATTTAGAATAAAATGAATTTTAAATTGAATTCTCCAAAATACCCCCTCTTAGTGACTAATAAATTAAATTAACAAAATAACATTGTTCTATAATATTTTTACAAGAAACGACAGCGATGGTGTGCTGGTCCCACCTTTGAATTATGGTTTGCACTTTTAAATGTCAAAAAGTCTGTCACAGGTTCTCTACATTGAGCTCTAAGTGATTCTGACATGAACAGTGCGTATAATTGATCCACATGGGTAGCTTAGTCATTTCACAGTGTTAAGAAAACTTTTCAAATGATCTTAAGGAATGTACATTGTCTCGAAGACTCTTTGCAAGCTTTTTAGGGTTAAAAACCCTAGTACAGATATTGAAATTTTACTATAGAGCATTTCAGGGGCAATTAAGTCTTTTCACACATGTATTATATTATAATACATGTGTATGATGGTACATTGTGATGAATTGCTTATAATCTCAAGTTGACCAAGTGATCACAGTCTTAGCTGCAGAAGGCAATGTATATTGACAAATGTCACTACAAAGGCATTTTGGTCAATGCAAATTGCAAATAATTCTTTTGACATGTGCTATGTGGTCCTAATGTGAGAATATGCAGGTTGTCATTTTTTGCTTAATGATTAAACTTGTTATACATTCATATACATATACATTCGCAATGTTGTCAATGAGCTTGTATGTTAGAAGATATTTTATGTGAAGGTGGCAGGGGTATTATGGTACACTCACAAAGGAATTACAGATTATTATGTGACCAATGATTAGATAATGGTGACATATACATTTCCTCTTTGAGATAGGATTTGTATTCAAGGTGTACTATATATATGTTGTTATAGTATTTTCTAGGTTTTAAGCCTTTGAGAAAACCCTAAAGCAAGCTGCATTGAGACTGAAAAGAGAGTTGTATACGAAAACACATTTATGAGATTATTTGTACAGTCAGAGCATTCACAAGAGTAGATGATCAAATGGAGGCCTGCTGCTGTGATTTTTGCTGGTGTAGAAGCTAGTTTTGAGGTTTAAGTTTGATTTAAGCTTGTTGTAGTGCTGAGGCAAGTTTAAGGCAAGTGGGACTTATTATTTTACATCTGCAGAAAGTATGTTTGTGAACATCTTCTTGCTGCATTTGATTTTGATATCTCGGACCTATGTATTATCCTTTTTTGGTTTAGCTTGTTAATCTGAACATAATATCACTATATCTTGCTATGAGTTGCATTATTATCATCTGAGAAAGTTTATATAGTTAAATCTATTGGTAACATATATGCTTCAAATGATATTTAAGATATAATTAACCATATGCTAATATGCCATAAAATATTTATAATATGCTAAAATAATTAATTAAATATTCAACTAGATATTTAATTAAACATGCAAATTAAAGCAATAAAATAATAATAATAAATAAAAAACTTGAACCGAGGCTAGTATTGAATACTATGTCATTAAAACAGATTCGCGCTGTTATGGTACTAATGGACTCAGTGGCGTCTATCTCCCAGGATACAACGGTCTACATCCACCAGTAGCAGCACTACAAACTCGTGGATACGGCGAACCTCCTCCGTGTAATACTCTCTCTGACTCAAAAATGCATCTATACTAAGTAAATGCTGAATTGGGTGCAATCCGAACCAAATGGTTCGGACCAATCTTAATATGGCTCGATGAAATTGGATTAGGGTCTAAGTGGCTCGAACAACTTAACCTATGATTTGAACCCACTTGGGTTGGGTTCAAGTCTAGAGAGGGAGATAGAAGAAAATGAAATAAACGATTTGAAAATGATCCAAAGGAGGGTATTTATAGGCAACAAGGTTCCTTTTCGGGTGGGTGCAACCCTTTGGAAAAAACTAAAAATTAGTTTTTAAGTAATGTGCCTTTTCAGATTGGGTGTGTCTCTTCATCATTGGACACAACCATTTATATGTTTCTCTTCATCATTGGATACAACCATTTATATGTGTCTCTTCACACTGGACACATTCCTTCAATTGGTTGCAATGGTTAACATAGTATATGTTCACCAATAGACACATCCACTCCAATAGGTTACAATGGTTCACATGGTATCTGTTCACCAATAAACACATCCACTCCAATAGGTTGTAATGGTTCACATGAATAGTTATGTCTGTTGGTTTTGAGTTGCATCTTTTCATTCCATAACCAACCAGTAATCGCACTTGTCCAAGGCATCTATTAATGACTAATCAAACAATTTTCATTCACAATTTCAAACAATCCCCCACATGAATGGAAATTGGCTGCTTAAATGCAAAAGACGATCATGCAGACACTAGAGAGAGTATAATCGGAAAGTTACTGCATCAGGATAAGTAACTTTTGGCTTTGAACCTTCCCTAGTGTATTGCTATCGGATTTACTGGCTAACCAGTGAACGCGATTAGTAGGCATCGGTATATGCTACCAATAATAATCAACCCTTGCACAAATCATTGTAAAATAGGGCTATCATAGGGGTAAGTTGAACCACAAGGACTGCAAGTTTATGGCAACCAATGTCTTTAAAATCACTTAGTTTGATGAAAGAGGTGTAGAGTTTTTGGTTGGTTTGTCACTTAGAACTAAGAATTAAAATTGCATAAAACAATAAATTGAAGGAATTTAAGTAGAAAGAAACTTAGGTAGAGAGGACTAAGGAAGTGAATCAACTACCAACCCTATAAATATGCTAGCTTATGATTAACTTGAGAAACAAATTAAATATATATGGCAATGATATATAGCAGTACAAGATTACTACATTATCTTCAAGATGTTCAAAGAATCAAGAGTTAAGTATAATCCCTCAAAGTTTCACATGCTTGAACTACTTAAATTAGATTGTAGCCTTGACATGCTCACTAAGCTAGGGACTATTAAACCCTTCAATCACTATGGTAAAAGCACATGAAGTTAAGAACCAAGAAAAATCCATCAAAGGGAGGCCCTAAGCTATGGACTAACAAGTTTATCATACAACATGCTAATAAACCCATTTCACAATCTCATTTCCATTCTCACTATGAAGACGCAAGCTATATGATCATAAGAGGAAATAATCTAAGATAAGATAATCAACTCAAAATGATCATCTATAGACATTAATATCCATTACAACATGTAAAGTGCTCTAGATTATGAAAATACCATATACACACTTCATTCCCCAAATTAAAATCAAAACTAGAGAATGCTTACAAAGAAAGGCTTCATCACCTCCCTAGAAAGGGAGTTAGTTACCCATGGATGCAAAGGAATAAGGTGTGGACGAGACCCTCCCCTCCATTTTCGCCCTTAACAGCAAAGAATAACTCACAAGCTCTTAAGAATTGGTGGCGTATTCATCGTCGCACCACCACAAGCTTAAGAGTGGGCATTAAGGCGAGTGCCAAGTTTTACATTTATAAAAGCCACTACTACCTTCACTAAAAATATAGTTAGGGTGAGTAGGGATCGTCCCAAGGGATTGGAGTCGAATTTGGTTGTGGAATCACTATTAGGGTTAGTAGGTCGAGTGATTAAATAAATGGTTGGTTGGTTGATTAAACTAGAGAGCAAATTAAACTAAATAATTGAATGCAATAAAGAGTAAGTAAGAGAGAGAAAGATCTTGGGGTTTAGAGGTCACCACCAAGCAATACTTTTCTACACTCTTAACAAGTGACTAATGAGGGAAATGTGTGTTGTAATATTGATGTGTGTGTGTGTTTGGTTGATTCAACTAGTAAGGGTGACTAATTAAGTATACATTGTCTAATAAACATGTGAAAAGCATAATATATCTAATAATTAAGTATATATTGTCTAAATAGCATGTGAAAAACACAATATATCTAGCAAGTCATTAATCCTTTCATTAAGCTCACAAGCCAAATACACCACAAGGTTAGAGACATATGTTACTTGCATTCAAAAGTATGGAGCATCAAACAATAAGCATGGATTGTTCTCCCATCTAACAACTATGCTACCACTACACTACAATTAAGCTAATGACTTGAAATTAAACTAATTAAGCTAAGGGAGAGGCACAATCCATCAAGAAATGAGCATGAACCATCTAGAAAATTACAAGAGCAATCTTTTAAGTACAATGTTTTGACAATCTCTAGATCTATGGCATTAATACACATAGACATGCACCAATAACACAAGAAATAGAGACAAACACATGAACATCTATTCTAGCATACATAGACATATGGATAGAATGAAATGATCAATTGGAAGCATTAAACCACATAAATCATTGAATAAACAAGATCTATATATATAAAAGTGCCAAAACATGTATTACAACACTAATCTCTTAATACTACACAAAATCAAGATGTAGAAATCATGCTTGGGGCTAACTCTAGCCCCAAGAGGATGTCTAGCCACTCATGGTAGTGCTTCTCCAACCCTCAAGGGCTAACTCCATGGTAGAGATTTGCTCTTTGGTTGATGAAGAGTCTCCAATGGTGTCTCTAGCCTCCTCCTTCTCTAAGTTTGCTTTCCAAGTGTTCTTACAAGGTATGAGATGATATGATGTGATATGGTATCTTCTATTGTA